CGGGCAGCGCTGCCTCCCTCCCCTGGGAGCTCCTTTGTCCCGCGCCCTGGGCGCCTGGAGACGGTAGCTCTTCCCGCACATAGACCCTGGGAGTGGACCCTCGACTGCCAGGCCACAGCCAGGGCGACGGCCGCCCTCCCTGCCAGTCTCAGCCCCTCTCAGCCCGAGCAGCGGTCCAGGCGGGAAGGGCGCCCCACACGTGTGTCCCTGCCTGGATCAGAGCCTGTTCAGACACATGGTCGCCCCCCGCCCCAGCCCTGGTCCCCACCGCTGTCTCTTACTGCTGGAGGGTGCCTGCTCTTGGGGCCCCCAGGCCGGGCTCAGCCCTGTGGGCTGGGTCTGCACTGTACTCAACTCCCCTGTGCCTGGGCAGCCACGCCATCAACCGCTGCCCCGTCCCTGGTGCCAACGCCCCTGTCCAGGGTGTGCAGAGAGAAGGCAGGGGTGTCAGGACATTCTCGTGGGAAGTCAGGTGGGACCCTAAGCTGCTGGGGGGAGCGGGGGCTTTGCCTCACCGTGGCTGTCACCAAAAGGTGTTTCCACGAATAGTCTGCAGTATTCTGAGCCGTGTCTGTTAATCTGCCTGAGGCCAGGAAGCCTGGATAGAATTCTCCGGAAAGTTCTGCCTTCGACACTGCACCCTTAGCTCAGAACGACCTGTGCCCCCAAAGCACCCAGAGCTGCCCTTGGTGCGGAAGGTGGGCAGGCCCGCTGGGGTTGGTTGGCATCCCACTGGGGTTGGCAAGATGTCACCATCGGGTAATGGGTCCGTGGAATCCCTGTGTTTTATTTGTTACAACAGCATGGAATCTACAAATACCTCAGAATTTAAACTTTAAATTAAACATCCTGCCGTGCTCCGGGCCGGTGGAGCTCAGTGGTTGGGTGTCATCTCGTGCACCAGGAGCTCGCGGTTTGGTTCCCGGTCGGTCAGGGCACAGGCCCGGGTTGTGGGCTCCATCCCCAGTGGGTGGCGCAGGAGGCAGCCGATTGGTGTTTCTCTGTCATCCATCTATCTCTCCTCTCCTTTCCCTTCTCTCTAAAATCAATAAAACATATTTGAAACCGTTTAAAAAGCAACTAAATGAAATAAAAGCCCTGCAGTGGTTGTGGAGACCAGCTCCTTCAGGGCAGAACCCCAAGGTGCCGAGGCTGCGGGGGTGAGCTCACTAGAGAGCGACATGGGCTGAGTCACCCGTTCGAGTCTGAGGGACAGAACCCCATCACCGCACCTCCGTTGGGGTTTTCTTTGCTGAATGGTGATGCCACAGCCGCTCACCTGCCAGCCCTACCCCTCCTCTTCCTCTGCTTCCTCCCCCTGAGCGGTGGTGAGCTTCCCGGGAGCCCGGGTTCTGGGGCTTGTCCTCCCGGGAGCCCAGGGTCAGGCAGAGCCAAGGAGACGACGTGGCGGGAGTCGGCGGAGCACAGGCCTGTCCCCACCGCCAGCACCAGTGACCAGTGCTCTGGTGTGAAGTAGGGACGTCAGGACGCCAGCCCCTGTGAGAGGCAGCAGCACCTGCTACTCGACCCAGGTCCTGGCAAGTGCCTCCCGGGACCACCCAGACCAGCCCTGTGGGAGGGGAAGCCACGTTGGCTCCACCGGGGCGTGTTCTGTTCCTCCCCATCCAGGTAAAGCCGCCCTGAGCGCAGGCACCTTCTGCACAGTACTTGTCCCATCCCGTGTGGGGGCCCACCTTCCGCGTCAAGGCCGCACACCGGCCCGAGGCACAGAGGATGGAACCCAGGCCTGGCCCACAGCTGCCGCGATCAGCTCTGACTAGGAGCCCCCCCCCCCCCCCCCCCAGTGAAAAAGACTGAAGTAGAAACAGTGGGAGACGAGGAGGTGCCCACCTCCCAGCTGCCAGCTGTGCCCGTCTGGGGCGGGAACCTGGTCCCAAACCCCACGATGCGCTTCGTGACAGCCCTGGCGGATCCTGCTGCTTGTACCACGGCGGCTGGTTCTGCCGGAGTCTGTATGGCACAGGCAGCTGGTCCTTCAGCGGGTGTAGGCCCTTCCGTTGTCCCGTCTGGCTGACCCCTGGGCGCTGCCTCTACACCTGGGCCTGGGGGGCTCCTGGGTCACCTGCCAGCTGCTTCCAAACCCACCAAGAGGAAGAGCAGTTTACTTGAGCTCAACAAGGACAGAGCCACCTCAGAGGACAGAGTCGCAGGGCGGCTGGCGGAGCTCACCTGTCGGCCCCGCAGGAGAAGGAGGGCAAACGTCGGGTCCCGAAGCCCATGCAAGTGCCCGGGACGTGCACGGCACGTTTCCTGAGCAATTACCGTGTCAGCTCTGCTCTGAGTTGTTGCTTTTTTAAATATGTTTTCATTAATTTTAAATATACTTTTAAAATTGATTTCAGAGAGGAAGGGAGAGGGAGAGAGATAGAAACATCAATGATGAGAGAGAATCATTGATTGCTGCCTCCTGCACGCCCCCCCACTGGGGACTGAGCCCAAAACCCAGGCATGTGCCCTGCCCAGGAATCGAACCCTGACCTGGTTCCTGGGTCCTCGCTCGACCATTGAGCCACACCACCAGGCTGCTCTGAGTTCTTACTGCACATGAACTCACCTGACTCACTGGCACCTCCAGGTGAGCAGACTGCTCAGCATCACACCTCGTACCTGCAAAGCCAGGTTATTGAACGGACCTTTACCGCCTAGAAAAAGATCTGGGAGAAGTTGCCCTGAAGTAGAACAGTGGTGACCTCTGGGGAGAGGACGGTGGGCGTTTGAATGTATGAGGACGGTGCACTTCTCGTGTAACGAAATGACCTATGAATTCACCGTGATTTCTGTCATATTTCCTATTGCTGGGAACCAACTGCAGGCTTGGCGGCTTCACCTGCCACCACCAGAGACAGACTCAGCGACACAGCGAGAGCCCTGAGGGCCACCCGAACCCACCCTGGAAGACAGGACGGCAGCGGGAGCTGGGGGGCTGGCGGGACCTGCTGGTGGCGCCTGGGGGCCCATCTGCCCACGGCTGAGGGTCCTTGCCTCCTCTGGGCTCTGACATCCTGGCTGCGGACCCTCAGAGCAGGGGCCCGGCTGTGGCCTCCCTGCCCTGCCTTCCCAGGCCCTCCTCCAGGTGGCGCCGCGGGACTGGGCATGGGCAGCACCCCTCAGGGCGGCCTCCCAGGCCGGGTGATTGCAGGGCACCTCTGGCCAGTGTAGCTGGGGAGGACAGAATCGGGCACCTGTGGGCTTGGGCGAGGCTGCCTGGAGCCCCTCAGCAACCTACCCCGACCTGGGCCGACTCTGGTGTGCACCCCACGCTGCCCGACCCCACAGCGACAGGGACGCCGATCCTGGGCAGCTGGCCCTGCGGCCCCTCCCCCGCTGCTGTCATGGCTCCTCCCTACTCACCCCATTAGAGCCGCAGGCCAGCAGCTTCTCCGCCCGCCCCCCATCCCCCCTGAGATGGGATGGACACTGAGCCCAGTTCCCAGAGGCCTGGGCCCCACTGGCAGTTCTCAGCCCACAGACCCTTCCTTCCCAATGCAAGTCCCCTGTGCATATGGGACCCCCAACACACATGGGGGGGCTTGTCCTTCTGTTCTCCCGACAGTGGCCTGAGGCCTACTTTCCTCCCCCACCCACAACCAGGCCTCCCTGCCGCCCACAGCCAAGGTTCCAGGCCCCTGGGTGTGGGTGTGGCCAGTGGCAGCTGGGCAGGCAGGCTGAGGGGAGCCGCTCCAGTGGCAGCTGGGCACCACTGAGGCGAGGCAGCACCTCAGGGGGGTGGCTGGGAGCCCGGCAGAGGCCCCTGGATCCTTCACTGTGTGGCCTGCACTTTGGGGGACTGGCCCCAGGTCAATGAGGCAGGTACACGTGGTGCCGGGGCCGACGCAGCAGTCCACCGCCCGAGGTGGCCATGGTCTGCAGGCCGTGGTGGGCGACCTGGGTCCTCGTCCATCTCAGACTTCTGGATGAGGGCTGGGGTCGGAGACGCGTTCCCACAGCCCCTCACGCATCCTGTCCCCACAGCCCACAGGGAGGGGTTACGCAGGGTCCCCATGTTCGCCTTGAGTTACTGTTCATTCTAGCTGCCCTCAGAGCCGCCCCTCTGCTGGCTCTTTTTTTTAAAAAATATATTTTTATTGATTTCAGAGAGGAGAGGGAGTGAGAGGTAGAAACATCCATGATGAGAGAGAAACATGGATCGGCTGCTTCCTGCACGCCCCACACTGGGGATGAAGACCGGGCCTGTGCCCTTGACCGGAATTGAGCCTGTAACCTCCTGGTTCATAGGTTGATGCTCAACCACTGAGCCATGCGGGCGGGGCGCTGCTGGGTTCTCGATTCTCCAAAGTGAGCCCCAAGCCGACCGAGAGAGCGTTGGTTTCATTTCCCCCTGTGGTCTGACTTACGTAATAATGTTTGAATTCGTACCCACGTGTCTCCCTGGGCCCTCTGGCAGGCGCTGCCCTAATTGTGGACAAAGCAGGCTGCTCAGCTCTCGCAGGGACGCGTGCTTCACCAGAGGAATTTGAAAGTCCTTTTCTTCATCTAGTTCAACCCCCTCAGCCCAGGTTCACCTGCCCTCCCCTCCGTCTCCTTCACACGGTCCACGGGAGTCCCGGGGCGGGAGGCTGGGCGCCTGGGCTGGCGTTCTTGGGCTGCCATGTGGAGCGGGTTCTTGAATGTGAAGATGGAAAGGGGGTCAAGCTGTCAGGCAGATACGGTCCCAAATGCCATTCCCCGTGTTGAGCTCAGGGAAGTCCACACTAGTCAGAGCCTCGGTTTACACAGCTGTAAAATGGGCACAATAGGAGAGCGCGTCCACTGGCCAAGCAATTCCAGGAGCACAGAGAACACAGCAGGAGGGTGCCGTGAAAGCCCAGGCCCCGAGCTGGCGTGAGGCCATGCATCGTGGCCGCATCGCTGACCCCGCCAGGAGGCCCACTGTTCACCTGACCCCACCTCTCTTCCCACCAGCAGCTCCGACTGCATTTTGAATTTGATACAAATGAACGTAGTGTAAAGCCTTAAGTAACATTCCAGATCCAGCCATGGATAGCAGACCTGCTCCTCTACCTCATCCCTGTTCCTGCAGCGAAGACGGGAGACGGGGACCCGGAGGGGACGCTCCCCAGCTGGGGGGCTGGTGCAAAGGAGGCGAGTGCTCAGCTGGGCAGGAAGACGTGGGGACAGGCTCTGGGGGCCGCTGATCACATCACCCCGTCCGCACACATCACCCCGTCCACACACATCACCCCGTCCACACACAGTGCTCAGCTGGGCAGGAAGACGTGGGGACAGGCTCTGAGGGCCACTGATCACATCACCCCGTCCGCACCCATCACCCCGTCCACACCCATCACCCCATCCACACACATCACCCCGTCCACTCCCTTTGGACACTTCCCGGCCTGGTGCTCGATGGCTGTTGTGTGGGTGAGGCTGCTGTATCTGAGCTCAGCCCCGGGGTCCCGGGATCCTAAACTGACCTTTGCAGAGTGACCTGACCCTCCTGAGCCCGTTTCCCCATCTGTAAAGTGAGGAAACTAGTGCTGACCTTGTGGCTCAGCTCAGACCAGAAATGCTTGGGGCCGGGCTGCAGGGGGCGGGTGAGGAAGTCAAAGGCGGGAGGGACTCTAGTGCTTTGAGGACCCCGAGGCTTACCTGACCCCCGGGCTCAGGCCGCCTGGTGCCTTGTGCCTGCACCCAGAGGTGCTTTGGCGACTGCTGGAATGAGCCTGGAGCCGCCCAGGCAGGGCTCGCTGTGGCCAGATGTCCCCCGCGGCCAGCAGGTGGGGGGAGTATTGGTTGGGGGCCTGGATCTCTTGGGCCATCCTTCCTGTGGCCACCACTGTCCCTGCTCCGCTGGGTAAACACTTGCCAACCCGATGCCACCTTCTGTGGCCGGCCTGTGCCTGGGAGGATCTCCACCCCTCTCAGAGCTGCCCCACGAGGCGTGGGACAGGGGCAGCCCCCACGCCCACCCACCCGCTTGGAGAGAGCTCAGGTGTGACTCTGGGCCCCTCCTCCCAGCCCAGGCGCTTGGCCACCTGGACACTTTGGAAGTCGAGGCTGAGGCCCTGCCCAGCACCAGGACTTGCCTCTCTGGAGGGCGGGCAGCTGGGTTCAGGGTGAGAGGGACCTGGGCCCCAACACACATCTGCTGTATCTTTATTGCACTTTCATCACATTGCAACTATTCCTCAAGAATGTACCGGGGGTCGGAGCCCGGGCGACACGCTCACACCAGTCTCCACTGAAGCTGAGCTGCGCCCTTGGCCGCCTCCCGGGAGGTCCCGGGAACTGGTGGGCGGTGCCGAGAAACAATAGCTGGTCATTTCGTCACCGAGAACATGTGAGTGCCCGTCCGTCCACGCGAGTCCTGCTGGCTTCAGGAGCAGGCGTCTCGGAGGGCCTCCCGTGCGGCCGGGAAGGGGGGGAAAGGAGAGTTTTAGTTTTAAGTTAAGTCCAGAGCGCAAGGGCCTTGGCGGGGAGCCGGGCAGAGGGTGGCTCTCCGCATGAGTCTGGGTCTGTGCCGGCGTCTCTGTTTATATACATGTCATCTGTGTATAAATACAAAACAGTAAGGAAAGGCTTCCCTTCCGTACAAAAGGGTGGCCGCCTGCCGCCAGGCCGCCTCTGTCCGTCCACAGCTGCTTTGTCTTGAAAGCGAAGGAAACGCGTCCTGCGGACCCACAGCTGGAGGACCCACGGCCGAGTTCAGCTGGGGCATCGTGTCCGTCCCCGGCACCAGCCGGCGGCTGTGGTCACTACCTGTCGGTGGAGCCTCTGTGCCCGGGGTCCAGGGGGTCGAGGTCGTCCTCCACCACGTGGCCCAGCCCGT